CTGCTAGATATCGATAATGTGGCTTCTTCTTCTTCTTTGTCAACACTGTTCACAATGGACAGAATGGTTTGCGCGAGTTGTTCACCTCCCTCGTCGTTCAATAGTGCCATAAGCCTATCTTTTGCCGGATCGTCATCTTCGTCCCGGAGAGCTTTGTTGCCATCTACTACCGTCTCCTCATCATCAAACATCTCGTCCATATCCTGGGCCAAGTGTGCAGACATTGATTCCATCTCAGACTCAAGGATGATGTGATCTTGCTTATAATCTCCTCGAGACTGTCTAACCTTGACCCTGTGTCTCAAATTGCCAAATTGCTTTCTTACAATTGTCTTCGCATCCTCGTTGGTCAGAACAAAGTACCGTAGATGTTCCGAATCCCATTTCAAGAATCTGCCATCCACGCCCAATACGATTTCGTCAACAATCTCTTTCTTTCTCTCCAAGCTAGCTTCATTATACTCGGCGTGTCTTTCTGCAGTGGTCTCCCGAAGGATGCGGTTTCCTTCATGTTTCCCTTTGCCCTTGTGGGATAGTACATCGTTTGGATTAATCAACGTTGGGTCAACGATTTCAGCGTTGTCATTCATCGTGTCAATTAATTAAACTTCGATTTGGAAATGGAGTTGATGCATTCAGTTGTCTTCAGCCTTGCAGGTAAGGTGTGTGTTTTGGGTTCTTACAATATGCTCATTCCATCTACAACATACGGTATAGTATGAGTAGAGATGTTACGTTGTAGTTTATTTCAATCGCGGAATTCATTTATTCATGGGGCTGATATATATGTCGTGTTTTAAATTTTTGTGCTGTATATAGTCCTATCTAAGATAGCCTACTGCCGTCCTCCGTGTGTGTGTTCGTAGTATTTTGTCTTGGTGTGTAGCTGGTGGGTTGTGGTGTGAAGCGGGTCGAACTGATCGAGTAATAGACTCGATTCGTTCGACCAATCTCAGAATTGCGGTACAATGCTGATATATCGATGGTGCAGGTCAACCAAATGGCAATCCTGATAACGATAATGCAGATCCTGGTGACGATAATGCAGATCAACAAGCACCTCATGCTGGACAAATCAATAACCATCATCCCGATCCACAATTATTGCAACCGGCAATGAATACCGTCCTTCAACAGATTCTGCAAGCTCTTCAACAGCTTTTGCAAGGTCAGCAAAGACATAGCAATGCAATTCAACAGATTCTGCAACAGATTCTGCAACATCAGCAACAACAACAGCCACAACAACAGCCACAACAACAGCCACAACAACAACAGCAGCAGGATGATGATGATTATGATAATGTCCTGGCTTTCTTAGATGAGATACTTCAGCCACAACAACAGCCACAACAGCTGGCTGCAGTGAATGAGGATGTACGGGATGTATTCAATGAATTTCGAGGAAATGGCGAGAACAACCAAGTGGCACAAAATGAATTAGTATATCGCTAATCATAGCGACAAACTCGACCACGAGCAAGGCATATATGTGCAGGATCGAACATGTCGTAGTAGTAGTAATAGCAGTAATAGTCGCTATGGAACTTATGAATGCTGGCGAAGGAGCTGAAATGAATGGATGAGAATCCTCAAAGACGCGGCATTCTAAAGTCTGCACCAGCGACAATAAAAATTTTATTGTGGCTAATGGAGCCTGCGATACTGTTGACTGGGCCTCTATACTATGTTTTCGATTGAATGAATCATCGATTCACTTATTTCATTGTTCAATATAATTTCTCCGCTGGGTCCACGGCGCACGGCACCATGATACAACAAATCCATTCTACATAGATGGTATAGCAAACATTTTGTACGAACAGTTACATATCACACAACGGCAAACAGAACAATATTATGGATCCAAAGAATAAGAATCGATTGTTGCTTTCATTCGTTTTATGTTCGTTTCCTATTCATCGCACATTCTTCGTATTCTCTATCAGTCTCTTTGTATGTATCCAGTCATTGCTACAGACAACCACATCTCCCGAGTCTTTATTGTAAATAGTTCTCTAGCTTTTATCATACAACAATGAATCCACAATACTCTTACAAATAGAATTCTTTTCTCGAAATGCTTCCCAATGGATGGTCGTGCTACTAGGATATCATTCATCCTCATTGTCTCGAAACCAAAAGCTCATTGACAACTGGATGTCCTTTGAAGGATTTTTGCTTCAATCTCGAGTGCCGTCACTATATTCTACATCACTATAAATCAAACTTTGACCGAGTTTCAAAAAAAAATCATCCACTGTAAAGATGTTGAAGGGCGCGATTGATGTCTTGCTGAACTTGCAAAAGCTGTTGAAGGACCGTATTGTTGGTTTGCTGGGCTTGGAGCGGTTCGGATGGATTCGTGCTTTGTTGAATTTGCAAATCCTGTTGGGCTTTATGGATGCTTAGCTGAGCTTGCAAAAGCTGGTGAACTACAGTATTGTTGGTTTGCTGAGCGGGCAGCGGTGGACGAGCTGGATTGCCGTTTTGTGGAGTGGTATCACCGCTTGGCTCAGGAACATTGGCATTGACTTGCGTATCCTTGTACTCGGCTTGCTTGCGCAATAGGTTTTCCATGGAACGGTATGTTGAAAGAGTCGAGGAATGAGTCGTTCCGTAGAGCTTGAACTTGATGTCAAGTGCGATTTGGAATTGGTCCATCGCATCGTCATAGTTGCCCTGATTGCACAAGGCTTCTCCAATAGAGTGATATGTTGACGCAGTCGATGGATGCCGCCGCCCATCAACCTTCAAAAAGATTGCAAGCGCTTTGTGGTAGTTCTCTAGTGCGGCCCTTTCCTTTCCTTGCTTGCGCAAGACGTTTCCAATGCAGTAATGTGATGCTGCCATGGAGGAATCTTCTGGTCCATCCTGCATCTTCACTTTGATCGCAAGCGCCTTTTGATACAGCTGCATAGCTTCCTCGTACTGGGCCTGATTGAACAAGACCATTCCCATGCAATGGTAAGAGTCTGCAGTTGACAAATGATCAGTCCCATGTAGCTTCAATCTAATCTCAAGCCCTTTCTTATATTGGTCCATGGCATCCTCGGACATGTCCTGTTGGCACAAGACGTGCCCAATATTGTGATATGTGTCTGCAGTTTCGGAATGGTCGGGGCCGTGTACCTTCAAATGGATGGCAAGTACCTTTTGGTATTGTCGGATGGCTGCCTGATATAGTTCTTGGTCCTCTTCAAGTTTTCCATCTTTGAAAAGGAGCCCTGCAAGGGCATTGTAAGTCTTGGACACCTCTTCTGGTTGCGTCTCGCGCCGAATGTGCAATTGTTGATCCAATCTCTCTTCTGGTGTAAGGAGAATAGTAGAAGCGTCTGGTGCTACAGCAACTTCGTCCGGTGCGAGTTGAATCGATGACGGCGGTTCTTCGTTTCGGTTCTTTTCACCTCGATGGTTCAGATCGACAAAGCATTGTCTTGTTTTGTGCAATTTTTCTTCCTTTGTCATCTCCAAGTATCCCCCATTCTTGCCATTCTTCTTCAAGAAACGTCCGCCATTCTGATGTACACTGTAGATGACCGACTTTGCGATGGACCGTGTCTCGTTTCGATTCGTTGCTTGATTGTACTCTTCCAAATGTTGTCTGACAAGGTGTACCCAATACTGGTTTCCAGGATTCCGACCATTACCCTTACCAAAGATGACATCGTGGTTCGTTGCCATGGCTGTTCCTGCTTTGAGATTCATTCATTATGGGAAGAAACATATAGAACTCCTTTTTGGATGCATGATTGCGATGGTCCGTTATGTATGCTGTGTGGACACGGCACACACGTCAAATTTTGTGTGATTGAATTTTTCATAAAATTTTCAAGCGGATCCAAAATTTCTCAGCATGCGTGCGCTCTCACGCGGCGAGAGTGAGTGAGGTCGCTCGCATGACTATTATTATATTGCTTCTCCGCGATGATTCATCATCACCATCACACCAGATGATACCATAGTGGCTATTGAGACATCACCACCATGCGCCTATTCCATGAGCCCACGACAATCTAATTGATGACTAACCAATAATCTATCATTATGAGCAGCGATAGGGAAGAAAAGGACGACCCAAATCATATGCCATTGTTTGCCACAGACAGGATGATAATGACAGTAGATGAAGGACCTCTGGCACAAGATTTACCAATAACGATGAACGGCACTGGATACCAACGTCGGAACGATGATTCCAACATTGCTATTAGTCTGCATAGGGAAAGGATACGTTTGGCAACTGATTCCAATGATGAGGTTGATATAGTAGGTGCTTTCGTTACCACTGTAGATGCAAATATTTATGACGATAATATTCAAAATGACGACGAAGACGACTATTGCTGGGAGGACATTTCCTTTCATTCCGAAGAAAGGGACAAGCATGGCAAACAAGGCAATGAACAGAAAGAATTTCTAGAGGACGAGAAGCAAGAAAATATTTTCTCAAGAACAATAGCTGGTTGGTTGAAGCTTGGTAGTCCGAAATCAGACAATGGTTCGCACCATGAGGACCATGAGGGAATACGCCAATTCGCACGGGATGCAGTCATAAAGTCGGCAGCTTTGCCACTAGAACATACATCAGATTACGAATTGAATCAGCCTGGCGACCCATATGAAAGAGAAACTCAGCGAAGTCGATTCAGTGCCGTTTTGAGATTGTGGACAGCTGCTGATAAAAACAACGAGAGTGAATCACCTCTGTGCAATGTGGAGGGGCACACACTAGGGGACCCAGTATCCGATGTGTATGCCGAATCAACTAGTCATAGTTCTGATGCTGGATCCATAGATCAGGATTACGAAGATTCTAACGTTGACCTGACGATCAGTGCCCT